TATACAGTATATATATACTGTATATACACAATAGTATATATAATAGTATATACTAAATATACAGTAGGCTATAATCCACTGTGGTATGGAAATAGGCTGGTTCCGATCTCATCTCAATTCCTGTGTCTAACTTTAATCAGACAGAACCCATACTGTGTCCCGATGTGACTGCGGACAGACTTACAGCCGCCACATACTGTCCTTACCTGCTGTTATCCCGCTCTTCCGTTGCCGAAGTGAATGAAGAAGTGTATTATCGCTGTGCGTACATAGAAGTTACCTTGACAGAGATGATATAACACAAAGCTAGGGTGAGCATGAACGCTTTCCCGTCGGCGTGTTTCAGGCATTACGTAAGGCGCACTCGCTATGCCTCAGCTGGTGGCACCGGCGTAATGGTGAGAGAGGGGCGGTGCTGTCTTTCACGGTTGGGAGGGTTACTTTAAAGCTGTTGTACTGTATTCATTTAGACAGTGTGTCTGGGTTAAAGCTGCAGTAGGTAACAAAACATTTTTTTTGTTATATTTGCTGAAACTTTAACCATATCCTGACAGTAGTACATGAGACTAAATCAGGTCCCTCTGGCTCCTCCTAGTGCTCCTGATGGCATTTGCAAGAATCCACTGGAGAGCCAGAGAGAGATAGTTGATTGTTGAGTCTTATTCCCAAGCTCAACAATCAACTATCTTCAAACCACCAGCCCAAAGTGTCTTTCTGTTTTTCTTGGCTCTATTAATGTTAGTGTATTTTATCAGACAACAGAACAATGTAACCTATGAGGGAAGATGGAAATGGAAAACATGGAAAGATTTTTAGCATCAAAACTCTGTTCGGTATATTTTTTTTAACCTGTGACTGGTAGTCTATTATCAAATGAGTAAACTAAGTCTTTGTCACTTGTCATACTGAAAGATGTGTCATTCAAGCTACCATTCACAAGACATTTGATTGATTTATTGATTACTATTTTATACCACATGCATGATAAGAAAAACCCAGTCCACACATGCGGATGCTCGGCATTTTGTTTATCTTGTACTGTAAACTAAATGTGTCGTAATTGTGTATTTTCTTTGTGTTGGAAATGCTGAACTGCTATTAATTCCCATTTGAACAACACAGTTTGTTCAGTACTCCAATAGAAAATGCTTATGTCTTCTGTGTGGCATTCACAATAAGTGCACTGTAAATGTGATATGTCCTCATTAACCCAGCACTGCATCGGTGCACTCTGGGTACATTTTTAACTCAGCTGTTTTTCAGTGCAAAGACTCAACAGGTATCCAGCAGGGCCCTCTCTTACCAAAGGTAGAGCACATATTGTATCAACCCTCTGAATGTTTTATATAATTGCAATGTTGTTTATCATCTGTTTTAACAGTCCCTTCGGTGTGGATAAATGCTGTCAATTGCCAAGGCAATATGAACATTTCCCAGAAGACAACATCACAGTATCAAGTCCTTTATTGTCATACGTCTCTGTCTGCAGCAAAAAGTCTCTCTCCTCCCTACAACTGCACACGTTACAGCTATCCTTTCATCTTTAAAGGCCGGAATAGTCTGGCCCCAAGCTATATCTGGGAACTTTTAACCCTCCATGTGCCTCCACTGGCCCTGATGTCCTCAAATGCCTCTCTCCTGATGGTTCCCAAAACCAGATTAAAAAAAAAAAGGTGACAGAGTGTTTGCCATCAGAGCCCCCAAACTGTGGAACAATTTTATTATTTACTCTATTATTTATTGATATGTTTTACGGTGTTTATTGCTTATTCTATATATTGTTACTGATGGTGCTATGTTTTTGTTGTTTTACCCTGTAAACCTTTTTGAAAGGTGCCATATAAATAAAGTTTATTATTATTATTGTTGTAATTATTATTATTATATAATCTGAGACATAAGACTTAAAATAGTACACAAGTTAAAATGTGGATATATAATATGATATATATATATAAGATTAAATTGACAGTGGTCATTGCTCTGGCCCTAATAAGGTACAATCTACAAACTATGTAGTTCTAACAGGAGGCCTTTTACAGAGATATTATAGCAGGTTAACAGGCGAAAAATATTCATTTATGTTGATGTATGAGTATCTGTCCACATTACAGTAGTGAATGTTGGAGCATTCTGAGCTGAGACCCACCCGTGTTCTCTAGCCTGCAATGTATAGATAAGATAGCTAAAACTCCTTTTTTAAAGGAGGCTGGAGTTTTTAAGAGCCACAGGCTGGGCTTTCTCTGCTGCATTTGTTGGAGCATTACATAAGTGCTCCATTATGACACATTTAGTCTACCAGTGTACACTTCCCCTTAATTCAGGATGTAGGGGGAAAGACAGTTGCAGCTGGAAGACATATGACCAGGAGGGTTAAGAGGTATAGTTATGTAAAAGTAAATTTAATCATAAGAATCATTGTATTTTCGTTACCTTAGAATGAGCTGTTTCCGCCATGTTGAACCATGTTTCTACAGTGGCCCAGAACGCACAAACCAAACACTGGCTGTAGATAGGGTCTTTTCACATATTTGCTAAGAGCCATATATATATATATATATATATATATATATATTAGATATATATATATATATA